CGCGTTAAAAAAGAGACGAAACGTCTTCTCTTTCAGGGTTGCCATACGATTATGTTGGCTATGTTATCAAATGATTCATCTAAATACAACTTCCTGTTAATCTGGAAAACAAAAACGACAACATCATCAGAAGATTGCCTTCGTGACTGTGAGGTACTCTCTCCTATACTGTTTCCCCGAAGGCTAAATCGGCATTCGCTAGTGAAATACCTAGGTATGTTTGCCTGGATTACGAGATAATTTCTCCCATTTATCAACTATAATGGCTTTTACGGTAGCCTTTTCGCAATGAGCACAAGCGCGACACAGCAAGATATGCCACACCGCACAGCCGTTCAAAGCTGAACCACGAACACAATCCGTCACTGCCTGGCATAAGGTGAGACGGGCTATCTCATTCCTACATAACGTTTGTGCGGTCAAGATAAGTAATGAGAAAACAGCAAATGAAGGTGATGCCGAAACCAACATTCAAAGTTTCCCGCGCCTCCCAGTGGGGTGATTTGGCATGTTGTATAATTTGCAAGTCGAGCAAGCAGTCTGAAGAAACGCAGTATTTTGCACACATTCTTTTGAGGTTTTTCTGGCGTAAGCTTGACCAGTAATCCTTTGACACCGTGGAACTTCTCGTAACCCGTCCGGACAAAGCTGTACTGATCCCCTATTGCCCCACATCTGACGGCACGTTTTTTACTGTTGCAAGCAGTGGAGCCTCCCAACCTCTCAGACCAGATATTAACTTTATGAACTTAAAGAAATAAATATAAAAATTGTGATTTGCATTTTGGGTTACTGATTCAGACGCGTTCATTAATGTGTTGAACCAATTTTGAGGCAAATCAGTGATTATCCGAATTTCGTCAGAGCTAACCTTTAAGCTGTCAGTGACTTTGATAGACTTTGATACTGAGATACCTAAAAGACAGTTTTAACGCATCCTGCTATGATCAGATAATGAAGCGCTTTAAATGACAACTAAAAGTGCGGCCAAGCAATCACATAATTGAGCATAAAAGGAATTAAGCCAAACGGTGAGGCGGGTGATTCTGCCCCGATCGAGGTCTCCAGACCTTGATCAGAGCAGAATCACTAACCTGTATCACCATAAATACAGATTGTTGAGAAGCACTCACCAGGCTAGCAAAGACACCCCGAACAGGGAAGCTGCGTCATAGGATCAAGAGCCCCTGTGCCGAACTTCTCACAACCAAGAAAAGTTAGGTGCGAATCGACTGTGCACCGGAACATGCAAACGAACGCTGCAACGAGGACGCGCACGCGCGTGCGAGCGAGCAAGACGCCATTCGTTCAGAACCGGACATCCCAGTCCCCTTCGCGCCATCGGACTCCGATCCTGTCGAGCAGAAGGCTGCGGCCCGCCAGGCGGACCGGCGTCAACTGCTCGAGCACACCCCCGTCAACACCGCACCCCTACCTCCAGGGTTTCCCCGAGGCGAGCAGGTCCTCATTCACAAGGCTCGCGCCGGAGCAGTACCGAGGACATCCTCGCCAAATGGAGGAACTACACCCCAAGAGAGGCCGACCACCCGATCCAGACCGCGATGACGACGAAGGGGATCAGGCCTCCTTCTCACTCACACCACCGGTGTCCTGCTCCACGTGCCACACAGACGCTGGGCCGACGATCCACCCCCTACTATGGGAGAGCATCGGCGTACAGGAAGTCCGCACCCAGCATGTCAGCTCCGACATTCACAGACTGGAAGAGCAGATATCACACTAGAACGTTGCCAGCGCCAAGGACACGCCTCTTGTTTTGTGGTCGTTTGCACGCGCCACCGGTGTCGGCCGCCGAATGGAATTCCTCCCTATTATTTTCTATGCCTAGGCCATCGAGCCATCCTTCAAATAAAGGGATTCACTGAATCAATTTATTTAGGTGACTATTTTGGGTCTCCCAGAGAGTAGAGTGAACGATGTTCCGCACGTTGCTACTTTTTTTCATTTATTCATTTATTGATACTGTCAGCCCATTGGGCTATTACAGGAGTGGGTATACAAAAATAAAAGATGAAAGTAACCACTATACAAAGAGTAATTAAACAAGACAATAGATTGCTCAAGACCGCTTCATACGCTTAAACGCGCACAAGAAAACGTTACAAAACTGAAAGCAGCACAGGTATTAACATTTCACAAAAAAGCAGAAACTTGGTCCGTATTTATACGATTACGGCTTTTCACGACTGTCACATTCGACAATATTATATATACTTTCTAAAAAGGCATTAAGGGATGTTGACGAGACAGCAGAATCGGGCAGCATATTCCACTCTTTGATGGTTCTAGGGAAAAAACTGAATTTAAAACAATCATTTCGTACAGTTGGATTACGAATGAACATGCTATGGCGATGCCTTGAGGATTCGTTAGTGCTGATTTCGAAGTAATCGGATTTGTTGATCTTTATAAAGTTATGTATAATTTGGAAGAAGAATTTCAATCTTTCGTACTTGGTCCTCGATTCCAAAGATGGGAGATTTGCGAGTTCACATAGTTTTGTAGGAGAAAATGCTTGGCCGAATTTGTTAAAGATGAACCTGGAAGCAAGTCGCTGAATTTTTTCCAATTTATGGCAATTTGTTACAGTATGTGGATCCCACACAATTTTCGCGTACTCAATAATTGGTCTTACCAGAGCTGTATAAGTCAGGCATCTTATTTCCGGAGTTGCACTAGTAAGGTTTCGCCTGAGGCACCATAGTGCTTTGTTGGCCTTAAGAAAGACTTTATCAATGTGGGTATTCCAACGTAGGTCTGGTGTAAATACTAAACCTAGGTACTTATGCTCTTTTACTCTTTTAAGTCCGACGCCGTCAATGTGATAGTTGTATGCTAAAATGTTTTTTTTCTAGATACTGACATGAAGACCGATTTTTCAAGATTAACACCATCTGCCAATTATCACACCATTGTTGAATTTTTTGTAGATTACGATTTAGTTCGTCCTGGTCATTTGGAGTTTCTATTTTATGGTATATCACACAGTCATCTGCAAATAGTCTGATTGGAACGGTTATGTCTTTATGCAGATCATTTATGAATATTAAAAACAAAAGGGGACCCAAAACACTCCCCTGGGGAACCCCTGAAGATACAGGTGAAAGGCTAGACTTATGTCCCTTAACTTCTACAAACTGTTCTCTAGAAGAAAGATACGATGAAAACCACTGTGTGACGGCTGAATTTTTAAAAATGACGTCAACTTTCAGTAATAGCTTAGGGTGCGACACTTTATCAAACGCTTTCGCGAAGTCCAAAAACACTACGTCAGTTTGACCGCGACAATTAATCGTGTAAGAAAGGTCATGTACAGTTTCGATAAGTTGGGTTGTGGTGGAAAGTCCCTTCCGAAAGCCATGCTGGGATCGGAACAATAATTCATAATCTTCGAGATAATCCCTTAAATTTTTACATACAATACAATCAAGCAGCTCCGAACATGTACTAAGAAGCGAAATGGGCCGATAGGTGCTTACGTCAGACACACTGCCACCTTTGTGGACAGGAACCACTTTCGCGCGCTTCCAAGCACTAGGAAAAGAACAATTATTGATGGATGACTGGAAAATCATGGATAGATATTTGGAGACCCAAACTGCGTATCTTTTCAAAAACTCATTTGGAATTCCGTCGGGCCCGGGGCTCTTTTTTGTATTGATATTAAGTAAAAGGTTCAAGACTCCTTCCTCGTTTATTTCTATATCTTTAATAGGAGGGCTATCTGAAAAGTCAACAAATCTAGGCAAGTTTCCATCGTCATCAATAAACACAGACGAAAAGAAAGCGTTAAATTGTTCCGTGCGCTCTTGATCATTGGCTTCATCGCTAGTACGACGCGATTTGACCGAGGGATTAACGTACCGCCAAAACTTGTGTGGTGCCTCCCTGAGAAATTTTTTAAGTGTTACATTGTAAAATTTCTCTTTAGATTTCTTTACTAGCCGTTTTAATTCCTGACTCATGTGGTGAATGCATGATTTATCTTTGATATTCGAACCATGTGAACGCGCTCGCTTTCGTTTGAGTTTTCTTTTTGCATGTATTATTTCCCTATTAATCCAGGGGTTTTGGTTCCTAATTTTTTTATTATACTTTGGAATAAACCGCTCAAGGCATTGCTTAGTCATGTTCGTAAAGAAGTTCCATAGCGTGTCAGTACTGGCATTGGATTGGAAAAGAAACGTGAAGTCATCCAATGACTCTTCAAGATAATCGAGCACGCTGACATCATCGGCAGCCCCGAAATTTAGAAACGTCTTTTGCGAGTATTTATGCGTGATATTCGGGGTCATTTGAAAAGACGCAAGTACCATTTTATGATCCGAAGGGCCCTCAACAGTTTCACAGCCGGAAAGAAACGATTTCAAGCGTGCCGATATAAAAACTAGGTCCAAAATTGATGATCTTGTTGAAGTCACTCTTGTGTGATCAGTTACAACCTGGGTTAGATTTTAGCAAAATGCAAGCTCTATTAATTGGTCACAGCTAGCTACTTCCGTCGACCCAGGAGAAAGTGATAACCAATCTACCCCGGGTAAGTTAAAATCCCCCAAAAGTAATATGTTGTCCTCGTGACGTAGATTCAAGTCCATATAAGTTTGAAGCTTTATCATCACATCAGCCGGCGAATTCGGAGGCCTATACATTCCACCAATAAAGACAGTACTATTATTAAGCTTAGTTTTAATCCACAATGCTTCAACGTCACGTACTTCATCAAGAGCAGAAAACTGAATATTATTTTGAATCATGATAGCAACTCCACCGCCTCTTCCTTCTCTATCCTTTCTTACTATTGTGTAGTTCGGGGGAGTTACTTCAGAATCGAGGACATCTTTATGCAACCACGTTTCTGTAATTACGACGATATCAGGTTCATGTTCCAGGATTATGCTTTCAATTACATCGACTTTATTCAAAATACTTCTGGCATTCATGTTCATGATCTTGAAGCACACAGGTTCTTTGAATTTTAGTCACTTATTTTCATCTCCCGGGGTGGTTTCTATGAGAGTCTCGAGGGGACCCTCATGGCACTTAAACCTCTCATTAGTAGCTTCGTTCCAGGCATAAAGGGCATTGTCCACTCTTAGCTTATCGAATACTAATTTCACTTTAGAACCCCTTCCTCTCTCTTCTGCCGTAGAATTCCACAGGTTTTTGCGGATCTCAACAACCCTTTTAGAGAAATCTTCACTGATGCTGATTGGGGTACCTTTGAGCTTGAAGCAGCTCTTCAAAATAGCCAGTTTATCTCGGAAGTCTGAAACCTTGAGCATAATCGGACGGTCTCTACCTGAAACCTTTTTTCCAAGCCTATGTATACGCTCAATAGAGTTTAGTTTATTATTTAGAATCTTATCAAAAACGTCATCATTCACCCTTTTTAGTAAAATTTCTTCGGTTTCTTTGCTGACTTCTTTAATACCTCTAACAATAAGATTGTTTCGTCTGGAACAATTTTCTAACTCATCAATTTGCCTGGCGAGTGTTTCAATTTTGGCGTCGCAACCGCCGACAGAGTGTTCGGGCTTTTCAAGTCTAGTCTCAGTTTCATCAACCCTTTGTAGCTTTTTTTCTATTGTCAGTAGTCTGTTCTGCATTTGGAGCATCGTTGCTTCGGACGATGCCTGTTTTGTTTGTATCTCTGAAATCTTAGACAGGATTTCTTTCTGAGTTTGAATCATTTCATTGAACATTTCTTGCGTAATCGGTCCGGGGTTTTCCTCAACATCTCCGGATAGCTTTAGTAAAAGCACTGCTGTTGAGAAACACTCACGTAAACAATCAAGGACTACATGTGGACACGGCAACACTAACAAGCAAAGGTGATCACTATGAAAACCAAACTTTCGAGCACCAACCTGCACAAAAAGTGGCACGCTTGGTGACATTGTCACGGCGGTGTTGCCGTGTCCACTGAGGCCTGAAGACGCTGGTATTGCTTTTATATGCACTGGTGGCGCTGATTCCTCAAAAAGCGATGACGTCACCATGGCCATTGGAGATGTGCTGAAGACGCTGGCCATGTGCAGCCCTTGCGATGCGTCGATGACAAGGCGATGAACGGAGTTTCCATCCGCAGATAAAGTCGGTGTTGCGTCCAAGGCTGCGGATAAGCATCCAACGATGATCTGCACAAAAAGTGGCACGCTTGGTGACATTGTCACGGCGGTGTTGCCGTGTCCACTGAGGCCTGAAGACGCTGGTATTGCTTTTATATGCACGGGTGGCGCTGATTCCTCAAGAAGCGATGACGTCACCATGCCCATCGGAGATGCGCTGAAGACGCTGGCCACGTGCAGCCCTTGCGATGCGTCGATGACAAGGCGATGAACGGAGTTTCCATCCGCAGATAAAGTCGGTGTTGCGTCCAAGGCTGCGGATAAGCATCCAACGATGATCTGCACAAAAAGTGGCACGCTTGGTGACATTGTCACGGCGGTGTTGCCGTGTCCACCGCCGTGACTTTTGTGTTCAATAAGATTAACTCTCCTATAAGAGAGTGCCACTCAAGTTCTCGTCTTTCTTGCAGTGGGTAAAGGCGACGAGCAGAGCTTGTCGAAACTATCTTCCAGTGAACATCGTATAGGTGCTTGAATAAATTATTACAATCGTGTATCAATTTACTGAAAATGATGCAAACGTTTAGTAAGAGTGTCTTACGAGAAAGGGGGAGGAAGTGGGTTCTCTAGATGCAAAGTCTGGGAAAACAGCCGACATTTTTTATATATATGCTCTCACGACTTACCTGAGCTGCAAGTTATCCTCTTGTTCTGACTGTGAACTAATTGCATGAGTTTATGCACGACAATTTAATTTCGGACCCTTTGTCGAGCTAGATCCCGCGCACCGAAGTTACCACATCCTTTAACAAACTTTTTTCGGTGTCTGGCTCTCCAGCAAGGCTGTAGGAAGTTGTTATAGAAATTATTCGAATTAATGAGTTGTAGCCCAGAGGCAGGTTACGTATCACGGAAGTTGTGCACCTTATGTAAAATTGCGCTTGACAAAGCGCAACAAGGTTTTGATATCAAAGCAGAAGCTAACCGTTCGACGCTTGACCATCGCAACCGAGCAATCCGGCAGAAATAGTGAGTGGGAAAATGTAGCAGAATAAATACGCGCTCTCCGCTAAGGTGACGTTATAATTACAGGATCGGAACGTGTGAAGCTGTAAAAAAAAAAAAAACTCCGTTTTTTTTTGACAAAGCACCGGACGACGAGATTGCAGTGCTTCTTGTACCCGAGCAGTGCGAAGTCTTTCGTGGCCCAATTTACGATGCCATGCATTTTTGAATATCAAAAGATAAATTCAAAGTCACTCACTACCGAAGTCACGCCTGTCTGTTTGTATTTTCTTCTTTCGTCTCAGCTTTTGGGGTCACGTTTGGACGTATTGATCAGGCAAACCTGCTCTCGATACGTTCATTCGCGATGCAGGATCTGATGATCAAGGTTCGTTCACTACTTGGTGTAAGGGTGTTAGGCTACTAAGATAGAAAGGGACATTCCTGATGAGCTCAATCACCGTAAGCTGAGGCGAGCGAGGTGGCGCCTGTCACGATAACAACACATAGTAACGTTTTGTTTTATTTTTTATGTGTCATTTTCGTTTTTGCCTGGCCAAGAGCACGAGCACCGGCACGCTGCAATCTGCGACATCGTATGTATCATGAGCTATCTTTGCCTATTGGCGGCGAAATGTTTTTGGTGGCCGCCGTCCTATGATTCCCTCTCCTGACGCCAGGACCTTGTGAAAAAGAAGTTCGATGGTGTTCGTAATTATCATGGTGGAAGCTTAAAATCATTGCGCTTTGAAACCAACACTGAGAACACCGTCGAAATTGCAGTTCCTACATTACTCTTATTTCGGCCGATGGGAATCCTTTCCTGACGTCATAGTCAGCATTCGGCCAATCGTAGCAGGCCGACCACAACGACGGTTTCGATCGCTTTAGTCGCCAATAGACGACAAGGCAGTGAGAATTCTTGAAGGTTCTATACGAGTGATGAAACGTTTATGTCATCTAGATGGAGACGTATCGACTGCCGAAAAGACGCAAAAGCAGGAGTTTACCCAAGCATCGAAGCCTCTTACCGACTTTTTTTGGTAAGCTCACTTTTAAGCTTCTTTTACTTTTTTTTTTTTACATCTCTTTCCCCTTCAATCGTGACAGTGGCAGCAAGGAGTCAATACCTTGTTCTCATTCGAGACGATTTACAGTTTCACATTCTCGGGAAGATTGTTTTTACCTCGACTCCGCTTAAGCAAAGGCAATAAACTTTTGAGTATCGCTCACAATGTTGCTACCAGTACAGTAGCCAGGGGCGGATTTAAAGGGGGGGGGGGGGGTCCGGATGTCCTGACCCCCTCTTGATTTGTGCTTGTGTAAATTTTAGGGCGTAAAACGAAGGAGAGGGGGAGGGGTTCCTAAACATATGGTACGCTGACCAACAGCTGACCCCCCCCCTCAGGAAATTCCTGCATCCGCCCCTGACAGTAGCTGACCAATATTTAAACTTGACTGGGCCAGTCGAACGCGAGGCGTTTTAGAAGGGAATAAAATTAGTGCATGCAATTACTTCTAATGATTTTTCAGGGCAAGTTTTTTTTTAATACGCAGGTGAAGAACGCCTACGAGACAGTTTAGTTTACGTTTTGTATGCAAATTATTTATTGTAATTAATTTGTTTAGAAGGTTCTTTATCGCTTTTGTTTCTAAATTACTAAATGCATTGACAAGTGATTCATTTAGATTATGACCATATTTAATTCACGTGTTGGTTCCACCTACGTCCATATATACTATTCAGGATAGTGAATAACCTATTCGCGATTTCTTCTTTCCTTGTCCATCATATAGCTTCGCTTTAGATCCGTTTCTCTAACGATGTTACACTACAAGAAAAAGAAGAAAAAAAAACTACATCAAGATTCATGTATTAATGTTTTAATGCAGGTAACTCGCATCGTTCTTCAACAGCACGGCAAAGTTATCGACCATATCAGGCCCACCGGCCCACCAGACTGGTTTAGGGTGACCACCCGTCCCGCGACTCGCGGGACTGTCCCGCATTGAGGGCGCGTGTCCCGCGTCCCGCAAGAAATACCAAAATCTTTAAAATGTCCCGCATTTCACATTGTTGTAGCATACTTCGCAAATTATGGCGCTTCCGAAGAGCAGGTCACGGGGTAGCACTGAGGTCGCTGATAAACGTGTGAATCTTGGTGGTATGCCATTTTCTATGCAAGCAGTGCTGGAAAAGACCGTCGTTCTTGCAGGAGTGGGACGCGCATGTGCAGTTGTGCCTCTACCCTTCATGGCAAAATATTGCGAGCGAAAATTGCTCGCCAAAAGTTGAAAAATAAACTGTTGTAATTATTTGCAAATCATACTGTGTCATGCGAAAGGGTTGTTATAGAAAGATTTTTTTAGTAAAGACGGCCACACAAGGCAAAAAATCCTGCAACTCACAAGGGTCGTAAAAACAACAACATAAGGTTCTAATTTTGCGCAAAAGCATGTTAGTATAACAGTAAATATATATATATATATATATATATATATATATATATATATATATATATATATATCGTCAGGAAACAGTAAATCGGAAAAGATTTACTGTTTCTTTTTTCCCTTTCATGCATTGGGGTCTGCAGTAGTCGATTTATATATTTTCAACTTAGGCACTCATAATAAAATATTCATCATAACAATTACAGAAATATATATCACTGTGAGTGAGAATTATTCCACCTTAATTGCCGCCACACAATTTTGAGGTGTATAATATGCTTTCAAATGCACAGGATATCGGGGTGTGCGGGATGGCGAATTTTTTTAATACTTTTTTCTTGTGTCATGAAAATACCGTACTCCTCTTGCCCCTTACCCCCCCCCCCCCCCCCCCCCCCCCCCGTTCCGGATCAGGATGTCCCGCATTTCACCTGCAGGAAGGTGGTCACCCTAGACTGGTTTGTTCCCTAAAGGTGTACAGACGGCGGACAAATTAAAAGAACCAGGTCTGCGGACTAGAGAAATGTGCGTATCACGTGCCCTTGACATCATTACAAAAAAATCGGCAGATCCGCGGATGGTCCGCGGACCTAGCTCGAAATCCCATGGTTACTGTGGATCGAAGTGAGGACTGCAAGTCCGAGCTCGAAGCTTCGGTTGCTGCTTTCGCTGCACATACTACGGAACAAAATCAGCACCTCTAAAAGTTGTCACCTTGTGCTCATAGCGTTTGCTGTACTTTTAGAGTAAAGAAATGATAATAATAACGTTTGACACGAAGTTAAGCAAGAGAGACATAACAAAAGTCTTATCGGCACCGACATCATAATGGCTGCGCTCGCCGAACGTGGGCTTCCGCGACGTGCCATGATCGTTTTAGCGGCAGCTCTGGCCCTTAATCGTACCTCTTCCGACAATATTTGCTGCTACGATACTTTCTGGATACCTCCCCCAATCTTCCGCAACAGTAAGTGCTTCGCTGGCACTGGTCATCGGCGGCAATGCGGAGGACGCTGCTATCTTTAGCTCTGTTGGGGCGAACTCTCCCCAGTTAACTGAGGTAGGCCAGCTCAGTTCAATTCAGCAATCATTAGCGGCTTAATGACAGCTAAGAGCGCTCGTGTAACTAGGGTAGCTATATAAACAAACGCTAAAAATAATCCGTAAAAAAACATCCGAGGTCAGCTAAGCACTTTATATGAGTTGTTAATGCGAAAGCATGAATGTCCAATTGAACGCCGCTGAGTGCTGGTGTGGACGTTTACGTTTCGCTACTGCCGAAGTTGCGGCCGCCGACGATATAGATGCCTCAGGCGCCGTAATGTTCCTCGGCGCCAAGAGAAGCAGAAGAGCCGCAGCGCCGGCAGGGAGTGCGGCGTTGCGCCTAGTAACACCGCACTCCATGTCAGCGCTAGCTCTAGCTCAGCTTCAAGCCGTCACAAGTTATATTTCTAGTTCTCTGAGCACGCCTCTTTTATGTTTTAATCTCCTCGACCCGTAGACTCTAAGCCTCTTAATTGCAACGAGCATCTGTCGAGCAAGGCTGCTATCACGCAATAAGAAGAAGAAGATCCTCCTCGATGAGGTAAGACAATTCTTTGGCCTCATTGAACCTTCACAAGGACACGCCCAAAGAATCTCCATGATTCCGAAGTCAGAGGCGCGCCGACAAGTCCGCCTTTTCATAGATTTTACGAGAGAAGTGTTCCAGCCACAGCGTTTTCTGCAATCAAATGACATTCACAAGATACACAGCAGAGAGCATTTGTTTACAATGTTTTCTCCCAACATGAAAACACCACCTGGCAAGAAAAGAAAAGGCAAGGCCAAAGAGCTCCCCACTCATGGTCATCGGGATTGTCAGCTTGTCAGCACAAAGCAAGCATGTACTTGAACAAGGGCCAAAGTTTGCACTACCACCAAAACTGCAAGCGGTCGACAAGGTTGCGCTGGTTAGGGACATTGCATTTAAGGCTCAGAATACAAAAAAACTTCAGAAATCATCAATCAAGGAATATATTTCCCTGCAAGCTAATGGAGCAAAGCACACGCAAAGATGAGTTTTACTTCAGCGGTGCAAGAATTGCGTAACAATGACCTATAGCTCCGCATCTTAGACAAAGAGTCGTGACCCTTTATTCTGGGAAGTACGGAAACAAAGCAAACCAAGCCATGAATAAGAATTTTATTCCAGTTGATTTAAAAAGAACCTAATCCACTAAAAAGCCATCCTGGAAATAGTGAACAAGAATCTTGTTACCAATCTCGCCCGATAAATAAGATAATCAAAGGAAAGTTAAGTATCGGCCTTTTTCTCAGCAAAACCGCACAAAGAAGGTGTTT